AAACCCACTGCCGTTTGCATGATTACGAAGTAATAGTCAAGAGACTTCATTTCTTTTGTCGGCGAAGTGAGCGAAGGATCATATTAATACTTATAACGTATAACTTTATTTCCAGTTTTTCTTCAATAATTGATACTTTTTTGCTGCTAAAAATGATAATGGTAGGCCTGGGGACGCATGTATGTGTGTTTCAGGCCTTGAAACGCTCATATCTGCTGTTCTAATGCCTTCTCCTGTCATTTTTAGCAAAAAAAGTTAATAAAAAAAGACAATTTGTTATCAATGAAGCTGTACAGAACTTTGGAGACGAAGAACTCGGTAGAGAATAGCACATAGGCAGAAGGCCACGCTTCTTATTTCTTGGCGCTCTTCTACGATAAGTTCTCAAAAACAGTTCATGGCTCTGAACTATGGCAAGCAGTAAACACAAGCCCACCCGATTGCATTAATAGTTTTCGTTCTCCACTGCTCGGCTCTTGGACCATTCTTTCGATGGGAATGACCACGACTATTTTTCGACTTTGTCGGTCGCGCCTTTGTTAATTCCCGCGACCGATAATCCATAGTCTGAACAGGGTTTTACAGTCGTTTACAAAATCTAAAAAAACCGTACTTCGGTCTTGATTATTGAAAAATTAGTCAGGTCATGGTCGAAAAAACAGTCGCGACTGGGTCGAAAATTTAATCTCGACATGGTCAAAAAACTTGTCGCGGCAGAGTATGAAAAACAGTCTGAAAATGGACACATTTCCTCGGTCTGCAAAGTCCTGTTCTGAGCTCATGCAAACTTACCGGGCAGCATAACAAGTTTTTTTTTTTTAATCAAACCTTTGAGATCAAAGTTGAGTTCGAATGTCTCTACAGCTTCAATAAGAAAAAAGCAGATGATCTAAAAGAGTTACAAAGATGACACCCATCCGCTACAGATTATGATCAATTTTTCTACACTTTGAAGTGACTCACGACGAAATACCAACATAATCATTCGAAACCACAAAAGAGTAAGGAAGGGTAATCAAAGAGAAGAATTGATTACCTAAACAGCTCCACTTTTCCGAAGGTGTCTCTCAATTATATTATCGATTTACTTGCTCCGTTTTTGTTTTTACCAACATTTTTAATTTTTATATCTGTTTTCACGGGGTTCATTTTGGAATAGACGTATTGGTGAGCGACGAAAACAGCACGCACATAGCTTCAATTTTTCACAGTTAGCAAAAAACACTTTGATATTTCTTTTATCTGATTAACTAAAGCAGAAATTATTTTGATTTTTTTACTGACCAAATTTTTTTTAAACTTGAAATAGTGTAAGCTGAGGGATTTTTAAAAATTACGTAAGAATTCCAGATGTGTTTTTGTCAAAACTCGCATCTGATTGACCAAAAAAACCACCTTTTAAACATTAAATTGACTCAGCTTTCCTAATTTTAATACTAATTCACTACCATAAACCAATAAGTTTTTTGTAGAACAAAGCTTGAAAAGTGGAATTCTAAAGAAAAAAAAACAAATTGTACAAAAAAAGTTTAATGAAGGGGTAGTAGACATTTCACAGTTTTTCCTTAATAAGTTATCCAAAGCTTCAGTATGATTTTTTATGAAAAGTTTGCTTAAATTTTTTCCCTATACCCTCATGTACATTCGAATGGACAGTAGTTGAGTGGTCTACGGACCATATAGAGTGATTAACTGTCTTGTTTTGGTACCGTGATATTATTGGATTTTATCAATTGTACGCACGCTTTTAATCAAAACACACAATTTGTTCTGGTAGACTATACTACTGAATTTTTAAAGGTAATATTATTCGCTAAAATTGTCCACAAAAAAAAGAAAAAATTTGACTGAACCAATGTCTTAAGCCTCCCCAAGGTTTGCCCCCCCCCCTCGAGAAAAACCTAGATCATTTTTTTTATGACAAGCGTTCGTTTGCTCATAGCGTTTCATTTCAGTAACTTTCCAATTGCAAAAACTTGAAAATTTTCAAGAAAAAGCAACTTGTTAAGTTTTTCCCGAAAAAATTCTTACAGTTTTTTATGAAAAATAAAAATACAAAAGTTGGCTGAGTCTAGCATAATGCGGACTTAATATTTGAAATTTTCCTCTTTCTCGAATTTTTTCTGTGAAGCTGCGACGTCAAACTCATAAATTTTCCTCGAAGTCAAATTCTAAAATTGGAGGACATTCCCTTATTTTCAAACAATTATTTTTAAAACATAATAATTACGCAAATTGGCCAGTCTTAATACAAACTGCCGAGGTATTTTGTCTCTTTAGTTTTTGGAACATTTTTCTTTTATGATTGATTTGATTGAGACATGCTTTTTTGGATACAATATACAATATACAATTCGAATCTAACAGGTTTATTCAATAGCCCCAAAATTTTGTTGATTTTCAAATGGCGATCGACGACTGATTGTTTTTCGATATGGAACGCGATAGTTTTCAGTCAAACAATACTGTAACGACCCAAAAACTTCGGCAAATTTATAGTGTTTAGGTCTTTATTAGTTTCTTAATAGTTTTTTAAAGACTGAAAAAACTTTGCTTCTTTAATCGAACAGCAAGAATCGTTATTTTGGAAGAAAAGTGTACTCCAACCCAGAATAAGAAGATTAATATACTTAGTGAGTGTTAAAGAAAGCTTTTAGATCTTTGCAAACCATTACGGGACCAAACTGTGGTTTTTGTGAATTATAGCCGAATAACGCAATAAGGACGTTCTCTTTGATCTTCTATTGTTCTTTCGTGTTCTTTGATCATTCTGATATTTTAAAGTATGTTTAAAGACTTGTGTCTTGACCAACATACATCAAAATATGCGCAGTTTGGCCTCGTAATGACAAGCGTTTCAGAAAATTGTAGTTCGAGTTTCAACAAAAGTATTTATAAGATCTTTGAAAACATTCACGCTGAACTAGAAATAAGTTTCAGATATCTTTTGCAATTATTATACTGTTCGAGGAGTTACACTGTTGATTTCACTACTTAAAAAAACTTCATACAAAAATAATTCTTTTATATTGATCAAAAATTTTAAATAAATTCTTAAAAGCTGGAAAAAAACATGTAATACTGAAAAGCTTGTTTCAATTTGATATTCAAACACAAACCCACATGTTTGAAGTACTTTTATTTTCATTTTTCATTATCTGAGAAGTTTTGGGTATTTTACATTCCATACACTATGTTTTTTAATTTTTATTTCTTCTTGAACTGAAAACTGAAAACAAAAGTAAAACGACAATTCATAGAACATTTGAAATGTTCTTGTTTTTATTAAATTTTCTTTTTTTGTGTGTGAGTTATTTGGAAAAATGACCGGTGAGCACGAACACGGCTCTTAGAGGAAAATGGTCGACGAGCAGAACCATACCAAGAGCAGAACAAACAAAACCTGATTGTCAAGTACTTGAAGAGTAGAATATAGGGATTCCGCTCCCCTCCTTAGGGATTCGACCCCCTGCCGGCCCAAATGGTTCCCTTTTGTACTATTTTGAGACATCCACTTTTGACTGACTGGTCCTAAAAAAAATTCTAAACGCGATGATTTTTTGCTCAAATTGTTCAAAAAATCACCTGCGACGCAGAAAAACTGGTCAAAATAGGGTACTTATGGTGATTTGGGAGAGCTCAAAATCAATTTGGTTAATTTGGTCGATAAAAAAAATCGACAAAGTTTTCGGTTTTTTGAGAATCTGCCCCCCTCTCGAGAAAAACCTAGATCCTCCCTGACTCTAAATGGTCCCTGAGAGATTATTGGAAATCGATATAAAATGTCGACGCAGTACAACAGAACCGAAGTACAAAAGTGGAGAAAAATATATTGTTCGACTGTCATAAGTTAATCTATCTAAAAACTGTTTTTACTGCTCTAAAATCATTCTGGAGTTGTTATACTCAAATGCACAAAATTGAAAATATAAAGTTGACCATTTTAATTGATGCCGCTTGTTAATCAATAAAAGTGCCCTAAGGGCGGTGTCATAAAATTTTATGAACAAACAGTTAACTCAGCAAAATGTCAACTTTTGATTTCAGTTTTGCTTTAAAACAAGACAAAATTCACGCTTATGTGCCGACATAGGGAAACCTCAACAAGAATCCTCATATATTAATGCAAAGCCCTGAATGTTCCGACTGCCCCTTATTTCGTAACTGATAGTTTTTGGGAAAAGAAAGTTTTTGGACAATATCAAGGTGTGAAATGTTGTACGAAACTAATAAGCCAATCTGATTAGGTAGCCTCAATTCAATTTGGAACGATTTTGTTGTGCGGGATAATTCCTCGCCACGCAAAAATAATTCGCGTTACACTCTCAGCAATATGAATAAATTCTTCAGAGCGCGCATAATGTAGTCCAGAACACGGGCAATTTGGCAATTTTCAAACAGCCAAATTTTAACAAAAAATAATGGAGGTAGAGTATCTTTCTATATTCGATCTCAGGAAGTCAATATCTTCAATAGGGTATAAAAAATTTTAGTTGAAAACTATTGTTTCGATCGACGAAAATTGACTGAATAAAAAAACCACACCCAGCATAAATATTCCGTTTTCTTCGAAAGTCGGAATAAAAAATACCAGTTTTGGCCGTGTTGAACACATTTTCAGTTTACTCATTTCCACTGTTGCGCTTCGGTACTGCTGAACGACCCGAAAGTTTTCACAGATTTAGTTTTCATGGCAGACACTTCAGAGTTGGTTGAAAAATAATCAACTAGTCATTGCTGCGGTTGCCGGTTTGTTCATTCTGATCTTAGAGAACTCTGCTCAGTACAACCTTTCTTTCAAAATACAAGTCAATTACTGCAGTCAGCAATAACAGAATTAGCACTCAGGACAATGCTTCAAGAAGTGACCAATAAGTTTTTCTAATAATAGTTTACTAATACCTTGAACTCATTTAGGACGCAGTGCCTTAAAAACAAAAAAGTACATAACTCATGCGAACTTCTAACCATTTGTCCTAGCTAGTTTCCTGAACATGATCCCTTTATTCTGCAGAATTGTCACGAAGCATCTGAGATACAAAAGTGTCGAGAACAGAATCACAACAGACTGAAACAAAATTGATTAAAAAACACTTCATTTTAAAATAAGACTATTCGTACATCAGGGGGAAGCACTGAATGTACTGAGTGCTCTCAATAGTCGATCACATGTTTTTGTGGGTTGAAAAAAAATTACATTTTCAAAAAATTAAAAACATTATTGGTTTATTTAAAAAACTTTTTTCCTTAACTTTCTTGCTTGACAAGCTATGTAAAGTAGCAATTGATATGTTTTGCTGATTGATACGTTATTTTTTAGATAATATGGTTTAAAAAAATCAACAATTTTTCTTTTATTTTGTGTCAATCAGATTATAAATTGTCTATGATCGCTAATATAAGCAGTAGCGGATTTATGTGGGGGGGGGGGGGGCGACGCCTTCTGAGGGATGCGAACCCTCGTAGGCGAAATTTTTGTTTCACTACATGAGATTACCAAGGAAACTGCTATGTGCCATTCAGTCAGAATGATCGGTGATTTTATTAGAATTAAAGGGAATGTACGGTAAATTTAAACTGACGATTAACAACGTTATCTGCAAAAAGAGCCGGAAAGTGAATGGTATAAAAGTTACGAAATTATTTTTAATGTTTCGAATTGGGCATGCATGACAAGTAATAACTGAAATTTTTGCGACAACTGAAACCGCAAAAACCAGAACGACGAATTTCGCTCATCAGATTAAGACGACAGATTTAAGGAAGCAGTTGCGAATCGCAATCAATTAACAGCGGAGAAAATAAACATTCTGGAAAGTAACGATTGTACTGTTAAAATTGTTACTGGACGTATTTCATAGATTGGGAAGGTCGAGAACAAGAAGAGAACTTCTGTCTGGCAGTGAAGAAGACGCTTCTTCAATGAGGAACCAGAAGGGTTCGAAGTTGGACTCAAGAACTGTCAGTTTAGTTAACTTTCTTCTCACTGGACTTGTCCTAAATTTATTTTTTAAAACAAGAAAGTTCAATTTTAGGACATGAGGAGCTAGGAGTGAGGAAAAAATCAAAATACCCGACGGATGGGGTATATTTTTCTCTGACTGTACAAATACAAAAGTAACCTAATAATAATGCAGTAACACTGTTTTTAGACGTAACCTCGTGCTCTGGGGATGCTGAGACCTAGTCATCAGCTCATGAATTTTGCTTGTAACTGAATTATTTTCCATTGTGCGGCCGAGAACATTGAAGTGGCAACAAGTTCGTTGACCCGGTCTTCAAATTGGCTCTGGTAGAGACTGTTAAAGTGTGTAAGACTCTAAATTGACGCTAGCCAATTACCATAGGGTTTAGTTTTACTTTCCGTCGTTATGTACTTTTCAGGCGAATGTAACACGGTTGTTTGTAGACAATTTCTGTTGCAGATTTTTAATCGAGGCCCACATGCCACACGTTCCGAGCTATATGACATGACAATTGATTGGATTAGTTACAGCTGATTTTTTATTGTTTCCAAAATAAGTTTGAATCACTAAATATGTCTAACTAGGAAAATTGTACTATCGATTTTATATGTCTATAGAGTAAAAAAAGTTCATTTTAAAAGTAGAAAAAAAATGTGTTAAACAGTATCTGATAATTTTGTTATTTCAGTTTTTTGAAAACTTTTGTTTCCTTGATGATTTTAGGATGATGACCCTGGCAAAGAAGACCAGTATTTGGCTGAACATTTTAATCAGCGTAAATGTTTCAAAAACCTTGGGTGTTTCGATCATCGCGAACAGCACATTTTAATTGTTTGTTTTCTCAGTAAATTACGATTGTTTTAGGTTACGTTTCGAGTCTTACCGACAATTTTTTTCAACGTTCTGTTAGAGATTAGCGTCGTTTAGTCGATCAAAATTATGATTATCTTGCATGATAGTTATCTTGCAACATCTGGCATGAATTTTGCAAGATCTTCTGCAGTTATACATGTTATTTTTTTCAAAAAATTGCAAGATAGCCCTGCTTTATCGACAAGGATACTTTACAACCCTAGTCCTTCTTCATGCCCTATTGTTGTTACAGCATTGAAAAACAAACCGATGGATAATTTTTTGTATTTTGAACGAATGTTTTTGTCAAACTGCTATGTATGATCAGTTCTAGAGTCCGATTGGACTGGCACGCTAACTCAATAACTATTCAAGGTTTCAAAGATAACTGATTTCAAAACTATGATTAAATGAATGTTCAGGCTCACCGATGCAATTTGTTCATACGGTTTTTCAAGGCCATATGTTCGGCCGTTAAATGGTATGCATATATAAAGAAATTTTGGCGACATTCGGTGGCATCAGCTTAAATGGGAATATTTTCTATCTAAACGCATGACTCCTTATCTACGCTTTAGAGTTTTTTAGGCGTTCGACAAAAACACTGGATCTGTAGTCGTGTACCGGAGCAGTTAGGAGTGTTATGTAGTTTGATTTGCAAAATATGGAGCTTTTTGACTCGTAAACTTTTCATATCTGATAGCATCTTAGTTTTACTGAGACCCCAACGTTTTATACATATCTTTGCGTAAATTTTATAGATTAATCCGCAGTATAATTTGTGACAACTATTGTTGCTGGAAATGTTGGCTATTTGTCTACCGCAACTAAAAGGTACGCGTCCAAATTTAGTTCGTCCGGTAAGGGTCTGTGTAGGTCTAATTGTACTTCCTCATTCAGTTCGACAACTGGTTCAATTTGGAAAGATTGTGATTTTCATAACGCTAGCTTATAATTTACCTACCGTGTAGTGTCGACAATTTTATGTTCTGTGCTGTGTCCGCATCTGTTGCTGTTGCTTGATCAGTTAATGCTATCACACTCGCTATTTTTATTTCGTAGCCGACCTTGATTTGCTGTGTGTGTCCCGTCATCATTGGCTGTGCTTCATTTGGCGATGTTTCCTCTGTATACTGTTGCTCCGGTTCGACATTGCTCACGCAGTGCTCGCACTGCTTGTTTAGTTCCAGAGTCAGTTCTGTTTGCGATTGAAAGTCATTCTGGTCATTCTGTTGTTTCTTGGAATAAATTGTAGTTGTTTGGGTCTCTGATTCTGCTTTTGTGTCTCTGTTTGTGTTTACGTTGAGATTTTTTTGTAGTTCGGGCTCTCGGTCATGTCGAGCGAGATATTTGTCTGCCGTTTTCTCACCATTGTGTTCTCCTCATCTTTTCCATCCTTGGAACTTGATGGACTATCCGCGAAGACTTTTTTTGGAAATCCGTGAGTTTTTTTTGTTGTTATCTTTCATGCGTCCAGAATGTTTTGTTAGCGGCTTGATATTGTTGAGTTTAAGGCTGAATTCCATCGTTAGTTAGTTGTCGTCGTTGTTCTTCTGTGCCATCTTGGGTCGGAAAAACTTTCCTCTTTGTCCGATTCTTCTCTAAAGGTCAGCTCTGGGTTTTTCGCTCGTGGCGTTTGGGGTTGCTTGGTGTTGCTTCCCCTCAAGCTCATGCGCTATCGGGAATGAATCCGCCCATGAAGCTTTTTTTTTGTTTCGCCATCTCAATTCTCTTATATGATCAATTAAATATAGAGATGTTGTTTGTTTTGTTTTTGTGGTCAGCCGATTTTTGAGCGTGAGGTTGTTGAAGTGAAAATTTTTTTATCAGATTACCGCTTTCAATGTAATTGGAATGTTCGAAATGCACTTGCATTCGGTGCTTGATTCTGATTGGTAAGCTTTTTGAGAAATTGGTTGTTACTCAATTCAAGGTTGGAGATGAATGAGTTAATTGACGCCCCAACAAATTCTTTGTCGTAATCACAGGGAGAAGCGCTGATCCTACTGGATTTCTGGACATATAGTTTTTCAATCCAATTTTTGTCTCCCCCAAGTGTTTTATGTCAAAGTTGAAGGGAATTAAACTGTCAGCCTGCTTTGGCTAGTCTTTGATCTCTCACTGGCATTTATTGCGCTGAGTAAAGCTTGGTGGTCCAAGATGACGGTTTTTTCCCGTTTAATTGATATTTGAAATGTTTGATTGCCCACAAGACCCCTATTAATTCTAGTTCGTTTACGGTATAATTTTCTTCTAAAAAATTTCGAAACCTCGAGGCATACGCTATTGCTACCCAGCCATCGTCTGTAGGTTGCTCGAGGGCGGCTCCTAAACCAAATAAAGACGTTTACGGTTTTGTACATTTTGATTAGAGTGATAGTTTTCAGTAAATTCAGATTTTTAGTATATTGTGGAATGCGGTTGTGTGCTCGGACCTCCAATCCAAAGTTCTGTGTTTATCTGTGTTTTTAGCAGTGGTTTTAGTGTTGATGCAGTTTTTACAAGATTTGGTTTGTATATTGTGAGGTGATGTCTTGAACCCATGGAACTGCTTAGTTTTTAAATGTTTTTGCACTACGTTTTTGTACTAAGAGCTTTTTACTAAGGTCTGCTTTTATATTCAAAAATTTTTTATCGTCACTACTTATGTCGTATACAAGCCACTCTACTGATTGTATGGTCCACCCTCCAGATTCCACCGCGATCATCAGGTGTCCTTTTGGAATAATTTACATCTCGTTATAAAATAATAGATTTCTTGCTGCGTCCTCCGGTGGAATATATTTGAAGATTGCTGATCGGTTGTTTGTTCAAAGTCTTTGTGCTTTTTTTCGTTTAGAAATGACATTGGGTTGCCTGATTTGGCGATTTTGGCTTTCGTTTTTAGCTTCACTTTATGGCCATTTAAGTTGTCTTCGTGAATATCTATAGAGTTTCGTTTTTAAAACGCTTCCAAAATCGCCAAAACAATGAAGGTGTCTTTGGTATATTTTCTCAGCAGTTTGGGGATACAGGTTCCGCATAATCCATTGGGTCGTTGTTCTTCATATATCCGGTGGCTTCTTCCACATCATCTTCACGTTGGCTTCTATTCGACTCCTGCATGTAGTTAACGTATATTAATCTGCATACTTTAGCAAAATAAACGCTCTCAGCACAGTTTGTGTCGAATTTTTCTTTCGCTGGGCTTAACTGTAGGTGGCTCGCGCCAAATGGTCTGCCTCATTTTTAACACATTCTGTTTTGTTCATTTTGTTGGTTTTGGTTACCCTTGCCTCTGAGTTTCCTCTGGAGAAATGGTTTAGTTTTCTCGAAAATCCCGGACTTCTGATTGTTTTGATGGCTGTGTATACCCCATTTGCGTGGCTGTGAATACCCCATTTGCTCTTGTTTAGTTATTGGCGTTATAGTTGATGATGATCGGAACAGATTTGTTTTTCATTGCTTTGCTATGTTCTATCTTTTTTCTCTTCTAATCGCATATTCATAAGCGTCTTGAGGGATAGAAACTAGAAGCTCGGCGGCTATCCATTCGTTTAAAATATGAGCCATAAACACGTCTCGAACCTACTCAACTTCTCTATCTGCGCAACTAGCGTGTATTGCTAGTTCTACGAAGTTAGCGTTGAATTGCTCCAACGATTTGTGTTTTTGTTGTTTTCGGCACACGAAATTATACCTATCGAACGCTACGATTTTTGTCATAAGGAAAACTTTTTCGACTATACGCACGAGTTCTTTTGTAGTCGCTGATTGGATGTCGAGCCCCGGTCTTTTCGGTTGAAATTTTCGTTGCCCTTCCGCTCCCAGGCATAGGAAAATGTAGCTCCCTACTTTGACATCTGCATCGTCCCACGCATTTTTGTTACATAGGACGCCTTTGTCTCTGGTTTTGATAACGTTGTTTTCTCATGTCACTCTTTTCTCTTGGTTGCGGATATCGCGATTGCGTTTTTGGGGCCCTGTTTTGCTGGTAATTTTAACTTCGTAATTTGATTCAGTTGCTCGACAATTGGAGGTTTTGTTCTAAGTAAACTTTTTAACCCTTATCCCGTCCTCGGCAAACACAGCCATTTTCATCGTGGCCACCTTTTGGACCTTTCTACTGGTGGTTCTGCTGATTCTTTTTACCAGAATGTTGGGATACTCAGCGGGTTCTTGTATCCTGCTGACTGCGCCATATCATATCCGTGTGTATGACCTATTCTAGAAACTGCACGGATTGGAATGCTAATTATATAACTGTTCAAGATTGAAAAAGTAGCTGAACCCAATACTGTGTTCTGATTGTTTGAGCATTTATGCTCACCAATACGGTTTGTCCATATCGATCAAGGCCAAATGGTTGGCCGTTAAGTGTTATAATTAGATAAATAAATACATCATGAGGTTAAGCCAATCCGGCCGGATGACAGTATTGATCGAATGACATCCATGTATGACGTGTTTTGACAATAAACAAATATTTTATTTTTGATTTCAGACTGATGTATCTCTATGCATCACAGTTCATATTCTTCGAGATTTTCACTTGAATTCGACCTGAGTTTTTTTTTTAAAAATACCATATTGATGTAAATTTTCAGAGTTTTTAGATTGCTTCAAATTTTTGAAAACCGAACTGAAGTCGTTCCGGCTTAAATTCCGCTGCGTTTTGTCCTAAAATCTTAATGCAGACGTGGTGAAAAAATATTGTAAAAAATGCCTACAGAATGTGAATTTGAATAAGACGACATGACACTAAGACGAAAAAGGTAGAAAGCTATTTAAAAATTTTTATCCATATTATACATATTAATTTTATTTTTATTTCAATTTTATCTGAAGTTAAATGGTTCTCATAAACAAGGCGCGTAACATGAAAAGTTAAGCGGCGAAAATCTTAACACTGTTTCTGTTTGTTCTAATGTTCAATTGTCTTCTGAAAGTCCTGTAGAAATCATAGTCGGCTTAACAGCCGTCGGCTTATATGACAAACACCGCCTGATGAGGTTGCCTTTTCATCACACTCGTGGCTGCAGTAATTTTCAAGAAATAGTTTTCTCTCCTAGAAATTATTTCATTATTTTAACTCTGTTTACCTGCAATAAGTAGATATCTGAGAGTCTGCTATAGAAAGAAGACCATTCCCAGGGATCCTGAATTTGATCAATAATTTCAGTTTTGGCCGTCAAGTATAATTGAACATAAGGTGAATCAAACACTTCAGCTCCAATATAAAACAGAGAAAACACCATGATAGTTTCTATCCTTCTACCGTCCCTGAATGCTTCACTATCCTTGAATAGGCTCTCTTTTGCTATTTCTCCTAAAGCAAAAAGGGGATTCATTACTAGGGGCCAAAAATTCGCATATGAATTTTATTGATTTATTTTTTATTAAGGGTGGTTATTCTTTGATATGTGGGTGGAAATAGTTCGAGGTTATTTCAAGGATTTACTTGAATTGCTCGTTTATAGCACCGAATTTTGACACGGTATTCTCGAGGTAAAGAGAATATAATGAATTAAGGGTCCAAAAAACCAAATTTGACGACGAAATTGACCTAAAATTGACATTTAAAAACGCTAAAAACAACGATGACGACAATCATAACAAATATTAATTGGCCAAGTTCAGCGAATATCAAAGTTGCACCGAATATCATTCCGCGACCGAACATTCATAGTCTGGATATGGTTTTTACACAAAATCTAAAAGTATCGCATTATAGTCAAATCAATCTGCAAAATATTCGCGATAGTCTAGGCATGAAGTCACGACAGTCTGGCTAATAGTCGCAAATGTCTGCAGATGAAGTCTGGGACAGTCTGGAAGTTAGTGTAAAAAGCAAGTTCAAGTTTTAGCAAAGAAAATTCGCGACAGCCGCGGTTAAATTTTTTTGGTTGCTCTAGTCGTAGCCAAGGATTATCCGGTCGCGAACGTCGCAAACATGTCTATTTGATCTACAGAGTTTAAGTTTGGAATACTCAATTACGATCGCCCAAACTTCGTTGCGTTTGTCTGGAAATACCAAAGTTAGGTCGCAATAGTCTTCACAAAAAGCCATAACTCGGCCCGAGTAAAATTGATAACAAAAACATAAAAGTCTTAAAATAGTCATCCCGAGTTTGGGGTACACATTGGTATAAATTCAAAGTTTGTCTCAAATCTTAATTGCCCAATTGCAGCGCAACATTCTAAGGCTAAAAGAATTTTATCCATTTTGAAGTAAAACCTGGAAATGGGAGGGACTTGAAAACGGTACGGTACGTTTTCTGGATCAACCTAAGAATCTCACCCTATAGTATCTATCAAGAAATCTTCACCTCTCTGATTAAGAACAGTTAAGTGGCACTGAACATTTCTATTGGGAATTCTAATTTTTCTGAATTCTGATTGGTCAAAAGTTCAACTAACTTAACCTACTTAACAATCGATGAGGTATATCTAACTATTATTACCATGTCTCATTTTACTCTGATTGACTTTTTTCCATAAATGTCCGAGAACAAGTTCCAATTTCATGCCCCAGTAGCACACGTAAAGTTTCAACAAAAAAATATTTATGTGCATTATTCGATGTCTAAAAAATGAAAACTTAGCTGTATTTGCATCCTGTACCGAGCTCCCATAGATCATAATCATTTATCTCGTCACTTTTTAGTCAGTCAGTAAAATTGCACAAAAATCTATTATATGCCATTAAAATTTTAACATTTTTAAGTGATTATAACCAATTTCAATTTTTATAGTCGGTTATAATAATTTTTTTTTGTAAAATCATTTTTAAATTTGCTTGCTTGATTTAAAATTTACCGATTAGTTTAGCTGCCGTTTATTAAGTTCCATTAGATTTTACATTTCATCCTACTATAATTTTTCATAATTGATTTATTTTTAGTTTTTTATCTGATGGCGATTAAAAGCTCGCCCTCCCTATCCCCCATCTAATCCTGCTAAATGTGGCAATTAGGTGCGGATCTAGAAAGTTCATTGACGGGGGCAGATTTTCAAGACTTTTTAGGTCAATCGAATTGATTTTCTCAGATCCCATAAAACACCACAAAATCATAATAATAATCATAATAAATTGTTTCTGAACCAATTATCTACACAAAATTTAAGATCAATTACTTATGATTGATATAGGTTTGAGAGCGCATCCTAAAGTATTCAAACGAAATCTGCCGAGGGACGCCTCAGAAAGCAGAGCAGTTTGAAGTAATTCTCAACTCTTATAGTTGAAACTATACTTTTTTTGGAAATTTTAGAAGTTTTTTTACCTGAAAAAAATGACCCATGCCTCTAGAAAACAGCACTTCAATTAGCCTAATAATCCTAGTTTAAATCTACAAAATATATCAGAAAAAGAACAAACAACCCAAAATATAATTGTCAAGAAAATTATGATGAAAATGGTCCAAAATGCCCTTTGAAAGATTATTGATAAAATCCGGATAACTTTTAAAAACTGAATTCAATTATTTAAGGATAGACCTAATCCGTAAACTTAAAGATTGCAAACAAAAATCGTATTTTGAAAAAACAGGAATAAACGACAATTTAAGATATTTTGAAAGGGTCGATAAGCTAACAATTAATGCCGTACATTAGTACTAAAGGGGAGCATTTGAATGGTTAGACCAACTCATGAGGAAGGGGATACACCCATGAGGAAGGTTATGAAAAAAGTTCTGACACTTTTTGGAAGCTTCTGGCACTCGCCGTTTTCTTTTTCAGCATAAAACGCCATGAAAAACCGGAAAAGTATTCAGGAAACAATATGCAAGGTTTTACAGCATTGCTCACCAAGTGAAACACAAAGCGCTTGCTCCGATAGTTTCAATTTGACTTTCCAAAATTTGATTTTACAATCACACTCCTCAGTTTGAAATTAATTAAAATACAGTTGACTGAGATTGCAATTGAGTGGGACAGTACAACAGTGTCGAAGTACAACAGCGCCGAAAATGAAAACCTTGTTCAACAGTGCCGAAAATGAAAACTTTGTTCAACAGTGCCGAAAATTTGAATAAATTTTAACATATTAAGTGCGGCAATCAAAAATTAAACAGCGATCGTTTACAATCTTAAATAAAACTTTTAAGATTTTGAGCGAGAAAATTTGCAATTTAGACGTTTTGGCGCCAAAATAATTGTTTAATTTGCAGTTGCAGACATATTGGCGCCAAAATTGGAGTGATTTTCTTTGATAATTGGCGTCAGTAATTTCCCGCTCTTTAGAAAATGCGTGTAAATTATTCTGAACTTTTCCGGTCTTTTTCGGCACTGTTGTACTTCGGCACTGTTGAACTCGCCCAATTGAGTCAAGGTTGAATTCCTCATATATGAGGGATCGAATGATGGAACACTAAAAATAGCTTATCAGAAATGACTTTTCAATTTAGAAAGCGGAGCGAAATATATGAAATATATGGCGCCAAAATTGGAGTGATTTTCTTTGATAATTGGCGTCAGTAATTTCCCGCTCTTTAGAAAATGCGTGTAAATTATTCTGAACTTTTCCGGTCTTTTTCGGCACTGTTGTACTTCGGCACTGTTGAACTCGCCCAATTGAGTCAAGGTTGAATTCCTCATATATGAGGGATCGAATGATGGAACACTAAAAATAGCTTATCAGAAATGACTTTTCAATTTAGAAAGCGGAGCGAAATATATGAAACGAAAGCCAAAAAGACTGCTCGAATCAGGGCGAAGCCCTGAATGTTCCGACTGCCCATTAAGGTTTATGGAGCAGTAATATCATTAAAAAATTAAAAGTAATTAAACAAAATGAAAATTTTTTTTTTCAAAAATTTGAAATTATTTTATATAAATCATCTCCCCACACGCCATAAAAAGCACAAAAGGATAGATTTCGCTACTTGTAACAAATCAATTATGGCAAATAAGCTTTGTTAAACCAATTTGGAACGATTTCTAATACGGATTAACTCTCCGCTTACGCGTTAATAGCGCGAAATTTATCGCCGGTTAATTGTCCCAAATTGGCCAAAATGGCAATCTTTAAACCCCCATAACTTTACAAAAAATGATCACAAGTGAAATATCTTTTCAAATTTGAGCTCAGAACAACAATACCTTTCGAATGATATTTAAAAAATTCCGTCAAAAATGGCTAGTTAAAAAGTCGAAATTTGTCTGAAGAAAAAAAAACCCACCCCGAGCACAAATATTCCGTTACTTTCGTATCGAAAGTCGGAACAATAAGTTTTTTTAAAAATGTTCAAGCCAATCTCTGAAGGGAGAGAGAAGCGTCAATACTCCCCCAGCCCCCTCCCTTGAATTCGTTTTTTGTGGTAAACGAGGTTTGTCCAAATAGTTTATCCTAATCAATTAGAGACATATCATAGAAATTCATGCAAAATGGCTTCAAAACATTTGCAAAAAAAACAATTTTACATTTTTAAAAAATTAATCGATTATAATCCTTTATATTAGAAATTTTGCGTTCAAACTTAATTAATGTATTGGATTATCTTGACAGAAAAAAATCAATTTCAATGCAAAAAATAAAACATTGAAATCATTTGAAAAAGATTATAGTGGACTACTATGTATTTTTCTTTGTCAGAAATAGTCGATTATTTCGACAACAAAATTGATTTTGTTGTCTGAATATTACATCCGTAATTGATGATAGTGGACTAGTATGTATCGGAATATCAATATAACTGATTATTATCCATTCAACGCATGGGCGCAATTTAATTTGTTCAATTTAGTGACGCTTGCTCATAACCCAAAAAATGGGGCCTAGCTAAAGCTAGAGGTACCTGTTTGATAATTTTTGATATTAGATTTGGCTGAATATTTTTCGAGAAGCGTCAAAAAGTTTGCAAAAATGCATAAGAAATGAAAACATTGATTTTTTTGAGTGCCATAATGTTTTTGTTTAAAAATTTGTACGTTGCCGTTTATTCCGGGGAGCTTTTCTTAACCTTTTTATAAAATTGAACCCGAAACCCAAAATTTCTAATCTGGGAGGGTAGTTTTTGAGAATATTACAAAAAATTAAATTATTTCAAATTTAATAATGTTTGCTCACAGCCCAATAAATCGGTTTTTTGAACAAAATTTGGAAACAATTTTTTCTAGACCAAAGTTTTTTCTGCAATTTTTCTCACATATACAAAAAAAAATATTATTTTCATTTGAAGACTTAAATTTTAGACTGGTGATTGACAAAGACTTGAAAAAGTGTAAATGTCATCTTAAATCCACAAAAGGTTTTATAACTGCACAGGAGTTCCATGAATAAAAATTGATTAAATTTGAAAATTGTTGTCAACATCTATAAAAGTT